CAAGGTTGAGGATGTAGCTCAGTGTACAAAGCCCTGGGTTTAATCTCTAGTAGTGAATAAAAAGAGTTAGTAGCAGAAAAAACTGAAAAGGCTTGGAATCTAAAGGAATAGTTGGTTTTACACAGTGGATATTATGTATGAAAAACGGGGAGCAGGCAGAAGGAGAGAGACTACAGCAAGAGACTATAATGAATGACAGAAGTGAAAGGTTTCAGTAGAAGAGGTAACAGCCATTTTAGTGAGATGTTCACAACTTGGAGATTGGTTGCATTCAGCTAGTACTCCAGAAAGTGTGGTGAGAGCCAAGAGAACAGGTAACCCCTCCTCTGACTTGCCAAGGATGAGCTGCTGTGTTAGCAGAAGAAATTTTTGAAAGCAAAGCCAATAATGGGCATGAAGGAAGCCCTCCTGGAAGTGGCATTTTTTTTTTCTCTCCTTAGAGCAAATTATCCACATGCAAACATTTTGCAGGGTTTTTTTTTTTATCAAGTAGAATGCAAATTGTTGACTAGTGACAACATAGCACACAATTGACTGTATTCCCTGACCTAGTGATCACCATTTTGTTCAATAGTTGATCTCCCATTCCTTTTTCATAGATGATATAGATATAGACATGGACATGGGTACAAAATCTATAAACCTACAGATGATAGCTATATTTATAAGATCTTAAAATACATCTAAAATATTTTATATTTATATTTATAAAATTTTAATGTGTATTACACTTTAAAATTTTGAGTTGGGAGCTTAAGAGTGATTTAAATCTTCCCTTTTATATTTTATATTCTCCTATAGTTAGCACATTTTCCACAAGGAGTACACATTACTTGTAAAACCACAAAAATGTTTTACTTTTTAACTAGAGGAAAACCCTTTATTACAATGAATATATCAAGCATTTATTTTATTATCAAAATAAAGTATTTGCTTTTCTTTTGTCTTGAAAGACCTATCTGAATGTTGCATGCTCTTTATATAAGTTTATATAAACAAACTTGGAGTATAAATTGGGGATGATTTTGACAAACAGTATCCTTGGGGATGTTATCTGTGACAGGAAGGATGGATATGAAAACCATTTGTAAACAGTGAGCTATTTTTTTTTTTTTTTACTTTTAAGGAAATATTTAAAATTATACCTCAAGTTTTAGTTTTAAATTAATGAAAATAATCATTATACTAACTTTCTTACCTGTACCTATTTCAATTTGCAAGTAAAAATTGAAGCATATCTGCAAATTGCACATTTAAAAAATACAGGCAAGTCACATACATACAAAATAATATTAAATAGTCTTTCCTCAAAACCAGTGAACAAAGCTGCCATGCTTGGTGGGAATAATATCAATGCTAATGGTTCAAAGCAACACCTCCTCAGAAAACATCATCTTTTATGATTATTTCTGTTATTATTTATATGCAAATAGATTTCACATCCTTTTTCTTCTGCCTAGACACCTCAGAAATTCAGACTTATATATCCATCTACTATAGTCTATTATACTCTAGACATTCCACAGGCACTGTGAATTCAGCATGTCCAAAACAATCTTTGATCTTCCCTCTGAATTACCAACATCTGAATTTTCTATGCTACCTTTTTTGGCACCTGTCTTTACTGGAAATAATATGTTTTAGAGTTAGAACCATATCTGGCTCTTCCCTCTCCTCATACTCCCTTTCCACTCACTAACCAAATTATGCCTCCTTTTCACCCTAAAAATATCTTCTATTGGTCTCCTTATCATCTTGTTTCCACCACTGCCCTAATCTCAGTCCTTAGCACTGCTTGTTTACTTGTCTCCTTGCCTCCTGCCTTGTATCTCTTCCATCCATCTTCCACAGTGCCTCCAGGGTTGTTTCTCACACACAGATTTAGCCATTACTCCCTAGTGCAAATCCCTTTCAATGACTCACTATCACCAATAGCATAAATTCCAAGCTTCTTAATTTCATATGCATAGCCCTCATGTCTTATTGTTGCCAGTCTGAAGTTTATGCTTTAGCAACCCTCACCTACTCATAGTTGCTTTTGTATGTATCATGCTGTCCTTCAGGTTTATGCCCTTGTGTATGCTGACCTCTCTGCCTACATGTCATTCTCATATTCCATGGCTGGAAATGTCTATGCACTCTTTAAGAATTAGCTGTGGCAACATCTCCTCTAGGAAGCCTGGCCTTTTCCCCACTCTAATTCTATCTGTGCTATCCTCTGTAGTTGGAAACACCCCAGGCATGTCTATCTCATTGCATCTCCAAATCATTTTACAACTGTCTAAATCTGACTTTCTCCAAAACAAGATACTCCATGAGAGAAGGAATTTTGTCTGTTTATCATTTTTTCAAATCACTTAATACTATGTTCAATGCACAGTAAAATCTCTTTGGAAATTTAGAAGATAAAGTAATAATGTGTGAAAGAGTGTATCGAACTGCTTTCTCAAACCTCTTGGCAATTAAGAATATGATAATTGGATGTGGTGCATGCCTTTGTCAATAAATGTGAGGGAAACTTGGTCTTGGAAATTTAGATTTGAAGAGGACACTATACCCCTAACTAATAAGAAAATGATTCTTAGATGATGAAGGATAGGATAAAAGTCAAGCTAATATAAGGAATATGTGTTTTTCATAAGGACTAAGTTGAGTAACCCTTACTAGAGAAATAATATTTTTGTGGTAAATTTGGTTTAATTTTAGATGCTTTTAAAATATCAGCCACAGCTAAGAATAGAAATTCTCACTGTTACCTTAACCACATCTCAACCCTTCTTTTCCAAAACCCCCAAATGTGCCCTAAAATGTAGTAGAAACTGAGACCAGTGTTGACTCCTTCCTGCTACAGAAAGAAGTTACTGACATTCCAAGTAGGAAACAAAAAGAACTGGAGGTTGAAGCAGGGTCTGGTGGCACAGGCTGTGATCCTAGTACTCTGGGAGACTGAGGCAAGATTACAAGTTCAACCTCGCCTGGGCAATTTAGCAACTTAAGTGAGATGCTGTCTCAAGAATTTAAAAAAAAAAGGCATGAGTAAAGGCCCTGAGTGAACACATAAAGGGGAAGTTAAGCCATCATTGTTTTGTATAAAAGATAGCATGTCTTATGATAAGGTAGCTCAGGGATAGCACACATACAAGAACTAAGAGAGAGATACATGGTAGGAAGGATAACGGGAAAAGGGACTGAGATTAAAGATTAAGAGTATCTCCACGTGGTGTATCTTCAGAAGCCCTGAGCAGAGTCTATGGTGCACATCCTGTGAAGACTTCAGTCACAACCTTGCCCTTCCCATGGCACAAGAAAGCGAGTTATGTGAGCTGACACTACATTCTGGCCTATATGCTGTACTTCCTCACCCAGAATGCTTTGTTTAGCTTTTGCTCAAAGTTCAGTTTAGTTTGGTTAGGGAATGCGTCTACTTTCAATAATATCTAACACGTACTCAGTGGAGGGAAGACAGGTGAGTCACATACAGAAAGGAACAGGTGTCCACATTATACTGTCTGATGGATATTGACCAATCTCCACTGTGACTATTTGTCAAGAATAATTTTTGTCTAGAGTTATTTTTCTTGCCCTTTAAATTTGAAAGTGGACAGAACAAAGGTAGAAGGTAACTTCAATGGAAGATAGTTTGATGAAAGTGGGATTGATACATCATAGAGGAGCAGTATTTTGCATAGAGAAGGTGTTTTCAAGTCTAAAATTTCACTAAGAATTTAAAGCAGATAAGAAAATTAATAGAAAATTATTGGAAGTTATGTTTGAAGACTATATTGTGGAGCTGGATATGTTATCCAGGCAAGCTATTATATTCTTGGGCATAATAAACATGTCTGTGCAAATGATCAAGGGATATGCTCAACTTTTTATACCTAAGAGCCTTGAGTTCCTGTAAGAATCACAGCTCCTCTTAATTTGATCTGGATGGTGATCTTCACAATGGTAATATCTAATGTGAGTCTGGACTTAATAGACACTTTATAAATTTTACTTGAATAGACTTGATGTTCTGATTCTATGTGAACCAGATAAATTTGGACTATAACAATAGAAAATGATGTGTACCTCATAAGAAAATTATCCAAACATATTGAATTTGTGAGTCATGGACTTAGAAGAAAAATGGTTTCTTATGTAGCTTGGAAAGTAAAAAGCTATTTAATTTTAAGTAATGGATAATTCAACTTAACCTGAGGATCTTATACTAACAGTTGAAAATGGAAAACATTGTAATAGCCTGAAACTATAAAAGAAAATTCCATCAACTGGAATTATAATGTACAGATGACTGCATTTCTGCTTTAGACATGATTGTGACCAGAGGCTAAATTCTTGAACTTCATGTACCACATTTGTGCCATAAGTTGAATTAGAAGGTTGTATGGTAATTCAACATGGTTATTAAAACAAATGGAGGCTAAAATACTGATATAATACTTTGGATTATAACCTGCATTGTAGGATCTGGAAACCATTCTAAGTAGGAATATTCTGTTTTGTAATTTGCTCAACTTGTAGCCTGCTTTGGAGCTAGTATTTAGAAGAACTAAATGAGTATTCACTGAAATAGAAAGAAGAAAATGAATTCAGGTCCTCAGAGTTGTGGCTTCAGTACTAAATTCATGAAAATACAGACAGCCCCCTGCATTTTTTCCTCTAATACTTAAAACCAATGATCAAACATGAAATTCTGTGTTTGTGGGTGGGAGTGCTCTCCCTTTCCCTCCTAACTGATGAAGGGGCTCTTGCTGCTGTTGAACCTTTCAGCCACCATCACAGTTCACAGACTTTTCTCTTTCATTTAGCTTTCTCATAAGTGAATCCTGTAAGTAGAGAACAGTATGGAGTCTTCTCAAAAACCTGAAAACAGAACTACCATACAAACCAGCTGTCATAGTTTCTATCTAGAAATTCCTCCATATCTTTATGAGGTCATAGGTGGCGCTTTTGGGAAGTGATTGGATTATGAAGTGGTATGGCTGGCTTGATGTTAGGAGGTGGCAGTTGTCTGAGGAGAGATGGCCATTGGGGGGATGGCCTGAAAGGGTTCATCTTGTATGCCAGTTCTTCCCTTGACTCTCTGTGCTTCCTCTCCACCATGCCTTTCTGCCATGCTCTCTTACCCTGGAGCCAACTGACGGTGGACTGAAACCTCTACAGACTGTGAGCCAAAATCAAACTCTCCTCTTTTAATTTATTGGTGTCAGGCATTGAGTCCCAGTGATAAAAAAAGTGACTAAGATGCTAGCCATCCTATTCCCATATAGATGCAGAAGAAATTATATCAGTATGCAAAGGAGCCACTTGCATGACCAAGGTTATTGCAGCATGATACACAATAGTGAAAATATGGAAGCAGCTTTAAGGCCCATCAAATGGATAAAGAAAATGTAGCATATATATATATATATATATATATATATATATATATACACACACAATGGACTATCTGTCAGTCATGAGGATGAAATTCTATAATTTTCAGCAAAATGAATGGAACTAGAGGATATCATGTTAAGCAAAATGAGCCCAGCCCAGACAAACAAGTATCACATATTATCCCTCACATAGCCAGTACAAGATATTGGGAAGGGTGTGGTGTGGGATGGGTGAAGGTGGAAGAGGCGTAGATGATATGCTCAGTGCATGCTCTCTGCATCTATAGAAGTATCACCATGAATCCCATCAATATGTATTAATAAAACTAAAACAAGCAAGCAAAAACCACATCCTTGGACCCAGAACTTTCCATGATACAGGAGCTGACATGGAAGCAGCCCCAAAACAGCTGTAAGAGTCCATCAGTCTTTCTTTCCATTCACCAATGGAGTCAAAGAAGTCTCCCTTCATCACTGGGGTTGAAGAAGAAATATTATTGGCAAAAATATTAGAAAATGCAAAACATTTTTATACTTAAAACCAATTTTATAAGTAAAAGGTGAGTCAACCGTTTGCCCTTAAAAATTCATATAGGCACATACACACACACCGTAGAAGTAATAGCATTTAAAAATCTTCCTAACTGATACATGCAATATTGTTGGGACAATACTGTTTCTAATAGTCCAAAAACTTTTGCAATGAAAAATAATTTGTAAATTGAGGGTCACAATGAAAAACTAGATATGCTTAGTCATGAATCTTCATATATTTTAAGGTAGGTGGGAATTCATTTTATTATTATTCATAGCCATGGAAATTAGATGTTTATCTCGGTTAAAGTCAAGGCATGTGGTAATATATATATATATATATATATATAAGGCATGTGGTAATATATATATATATATATATATATATTCAAAATGGTCATTTTAGATGTGTTGTGAAACAAACTGAATCTTAATGGGCTATTTGGAGATTACCCAAGAGCTAATCAGCTGCTTTGTGAGTGTGGCAGAACATTGGGATATCAGATTTTGACACTTAGGGTGAATAAATCAAGGAAATAATCCTTGATCAGTACCTTCCTAAGAGTATTTAAACAATATATTCACAAAGGAGCAGAGCTAGTGGTACTGCAAACAGGACCAAATTAAATGTTAACAAATTGAGTTCCAATTCTATCTGTGCCAATAATCTGGACAGGTTACTATTTCATTTCATATTAATACTTTCTACATCTGCACCATAAAGCAGCTATAGTAGGTGATTTCTAATATGACCTAGGATGTCGATGTTTTTGTCTCTGTCATATGATTAATTTAGAGCAGCAGTATTAAATAATTTGCTACCCGTAAGTTATCTGTACAGAATAGATAATTGTGAGATGTAGCCTGGCAGTTGTCTCTATCATAAAAGGAGCAAAATAATAATCTGTTGTGTTTTAGAGCCTACTTCTGCTGTATGAAATCTTTCCTCAAAACACAAAAGGCTCAGATTCTTTGGGAAATGTGCCATGGAAAGGAAATGAAAGCATTAGCCTGGAAATTGCTGGTGGTGACTGTTGAACTATTTGGAGGCTTGTTTTTCTGAAGGTTAGCCAAAATTCTGGTAAAGAATATGGGCTGGAGTTCCCTCAAACACAACATTTTCTATGAGCCTTCCAATACTTGTGTAAGTAATTACTCAGAAGAATAGCTTCCCTTGCATTATGATGATGTTTCTAATTCCTTTTCAAATCTAGAAACCAAAAGGCATTCAAATATTATTATTAGTTTTTCCTTTACTCAACTAAAATTGACATGAAGATAGAATTTTGAGCAGCAACATATTTGAAAATCAGCTAACCTCCTCCATACTAATCATGTCTTTTTTCCCCCAGATTTACATCTCCTGCTGAGATCTGTTATCTATGAAAGAGTGAGTTAGCTTTTATCAGCCTCCAGTATTCTGTTATTTGAATGTGTTGCCCTCACCATAAAACACAACTCCAAAACTTACTCATCATCTCCCCTATTTAAAGCTATTTTTCCTTACCCACTACTTTTAGCATCACCCTGGCTAGAAAACTTGGAGTCATCTTTGCTCTTCTCTTTCCATTCCTAACATCATTTTGTCCATTTTGTCATATTTTTCTTTTTCTAATTATTTATTCTTTCCAAATTTTTGCTTCTTACTGCTCTGTGCTTATTCTTACTGGGTAACATCTAGGTAACTCAATGAATTTCCTAGCCTGCCTCCTTATTTCTAGTGTTTCTTTCTTTGAATACAGGGACTATATTTTATTCCCCTCAGATTTCATTACATTACAATACATAACTCTTTAAAAATTAGTAGCTTTAGCTCTACTCCTGAATCAAATTGTAATTTAGCAGTTTGGTCTGACTTTTAATATCTTTTAAAATTTATATTCTACTTAGAAAACTCTAGGAACTGCTATTCTGCTTTCATTTATGATTTGCTAGCATGTACTATAGTTAAACTGAAGAAATAAAAAATTTATCAGAAGTATCAAAGGAAGAATTAGCAGCACTTAAATGGGATTAGAAACAGATCAAGTTCCCACCTGGCTGATTACAGGGATCTCATAACATATGTGCTATTGAGCAAAGTAGCAGAAGCAACTTAGACCTAGATTTGAGGTTGTTCTGAACCTATCCAAACATAGCTTAAGAACAAGTGTCAGAGGGATCTGATTCCAAATCACTTAATTACATCTTAGGATAAAATGCAGCATTCTTCAAGGGAACACTGAAATATCTGGCACCAACAATGTAAAATCCACAATGCCCAACAACCAAGTAATATACTACACAAACAAAGAAAGAAGAATACATACGATCAGCAATTGGAAGAAACAAAAATACCATTTACTGGAATATTATAGGATACATACCAGCCATTTAACACTTGACAATTAGTTTCATTATCTTTGTCATTTCTGAGTCTATCTTAAAGATATGCTTAAAAATGAACCTGGGAAATGAAAACCATAGCTATTAGAAACTCAATGAAACTTGAGTAGAACAAACATTTAAACAAACAAAAAACATACCAAGGCACAAATACACCAATTTGTGGAAAATCAGTGGCACAAAGAAAAATCCTGAAAGTCAGAGGAAGAGACATTTATGTGCAAAGAAAAAAGTAGAAGCCATCTCATCAAAAACTATATGTCAGCCAGAGAAAATGGAGTGATATCTTTAAAGTATTCAAAGAAATAAAACTGTCATTCTAGAATTCTATACCTCTTGCAAATAAAACAACTTTCAAAAACTTTTGAGAATAGCTTTCCAAAAACTTTCAAATAACCCGCAAGTCAAAGCAAAAATCACAAAGGCATTTACATATATTTGAGATGAATGAAAGTGACAACAAATACATAAAAATTTGTAGGATGAAGTAAAAGCAACGTTTAGAGGAAAATTATTCCAATAAATATTTATACTAGAAAAATAAAAAAGTAAAAATGGGCAACAATAAATTATATAAGATAAAAAGAAAATAACAAAAATAGAAATCAATAAAACTGAGAACCAAAAAACAATAGAGAGAAATTTATGAAATCAAAACCTTGTGTTTTGAAAAAATTAGTAAGTCCAATAAACCTATAGCTAGGTTAGGCAGGAAAATGGTCAGAAGACACAAATTTTTCATATCAGGAATTAAAGGAAGTACATCAGTATCTATTCTATAGAACAGAGATGGTGAACCTTTTAGAACTTTCAATGATTCAGCCTGCTGAGTCATGCATGCCATAGGTTCGTCACCACTGCTATAGACAGTAAAGGGGATAGAAAATATTATGGATAATTCCAATGAGTTTGATAATTTAGATAAAACTGACAACTTCTTTGAAAGATACAAACTAATAAAGTGCCATTGAAAAGGTAACTTTAAGGCTTATGCAGATGCTCACATAAGGATGCATGCTGTCATTCATCATTAGGGAAACAAATGAAATATACAGTGATATACCACTCCACTAGAGCTTCTAATGGTGTCTTTTGGTCCCCAGGGAGGTTATTTGCCATCAGGAGACTTTCATCAATATTTGGAAACAGTTTTGGATTTTATAACTAGAGGGTTGTTCCATTGCCACTTAGTGGGCAGAGGACAGAGACATTTCCAAATATTCTACAATGATTAGGGCCAAAAGATATTTGGACTACAATGTCAACAATGCTGAGGTTGAAGTTAAGAATAAATGCACATTAGAATAGCTAAAATTAAGAAGACTTATAATAGCAATGTTTGCAGAAATGTATGAAAATGGGACTCATCATATAAGTGATAATGAAAAATGTTACTGAGACTTTGGAAAAGTTTGGCAGTTTCTTATAGTTTTAAATGGGCTTATCATATCCAACAAGCCTAATGATAGATATTTATTTAAAAAATGTAAAGTTATGCCCTCAAAAAACTTGTGTATTTTCCTAGTCAGTTTATTCCTATTACCATAAAATGTGGAGAACTCAAATGCTCATCAACTGGTGAATGAAGAAACAGATTTTAGCAATCTATACAATGGAATACTACTCAGCAATCCAAAGAAATGAACTACTAATACATGAAAAAGCATATATGAATCTGAAAGTGTTTATCTAAATGAAAGAAGTCATGCTCCAAAGACTGCACTCTGCTTAATTCCATTTATTGTTACATTTGTAGTACTAAAAAGTAGATCAACATGGCCAAGGTGGGAGTTGAGGACTGACTACAAAAGAGCAAAAGGTACATTTTAAGGGATGATAAAATATTCTAGAGCTTGATTATAGTGGTATTTGCATGACTGCATATATTTGCCAAAACTAATGAGTTGTACGATTTAAAATCTGGTGATCTGATTATATATAAATTACACTTCAAAATAAAGTTATTTTTTTTTAAAAAAAGAGGGTCTGGGATGTAGCTCAACTGCAACACACCTGCCTGGCAAGTGTGAGGCCCTGAGTTCGAGTCCCAGTACTAAAAAAATTTTTTAAAAAAGAAAAAGAAATAGCATTCCAAATTAGCATCCTCTGTAATGATGGTTTCAGTACTATGCAGTCTTTGTCAAAATTGGGGAAGCCTGCTATCCAACCAGGAGGCTGCCTCTCAATGTCAGCTCAAGTCTATGCCTCAGCCATTGTCCAGACTCCAAAATGGACATGGACAGCCTGTCTCTCTCCATAAACATATTCCAAATTGAAGCAGAGAGACCTGTTTCTCAGCCAAATCCTAGCACTGATGGGATCTGAGGAGTCTGAATCTGGAGTGTTTTATAGGCATCAAATTCCATGTACATTAAAGCATAATAAATGGAAGTTGGAACCAGCAACAATGAGCCATTCTGGAGTCTCCACTACAGTTCCTCAGCTGCCCCGCACCTCCCACTTTTCACTCACTCAATATCAAGTCTTCTTTTCATATCTGGTTCCTTACTATCTTTCAAAGCCTAGCTCCTGTCCCTTCTTACTGATAGTCTTGTCCTTAAACTCAGATAGGCAAATCTTAGACTTCCAAGGCCCCTTGCTCTGGGAAGGAAATTAGACTGGACAAAGACTTCAGTTATTCCCGGTCCTCGTTTCTCCCTCTCAAGGTTATTGCTTACCCTCTGCCTCTCATTGTTGCCTGTGATGCTCACCAGAAACCTCAAGGATTCAGGCTTCTCGGGTCATCCTGGACACTAAGATTAGGCCCATGGTCCAGGACACCAGCCTACCTAGTGTTTGCTCCCATTGGCCCGTACAGTATTTATTCTCTGGGATCATGTGTATTTGTGCTGCCAAAATTTGGGGGTGAAGGTTGATTTGGGGTAATTCTTACCTATGTGGGACATAGGACTGTGGGTTTGCAACCTGTGGTTACTCATGTTTCCTGGAATTGAGCTGCACATATGAGCCAGGTGTCAGTCCTTGGCTGTGTTCTAACTATAGCCCTACTCAGTTTTGCAGCACTCCACCCTCTCTTCTGACCCCATATAATGAGGGACACAGTGGTCGAGGGGTGGCCAAGCCTTTCTTCTCCAAAGGTGTTTGTCACCATTGCCCTGCTGTGCCAACTGGCCCTTGCAGTGACTACTGTGATGGATGTGGTGACAAGTCTCTACAGGGTTCATCTTAGACCATATAGAGCTAATGCTGAGCTTTCCTTGCTTGTTCCATTATGGACCCTTGTCTTTCTGGTAAAACATGTGGAAAGCAGGGATGTGGAGGTAATTCAATGCCTAATTATTGTAAGTGTCAATGTTGCTGATGGAGGTAGGTTAGGATCTTGCAGAAACATCATGCTTTACATTTCCTTTGTACTTTTACTGCACCTAGGTTTTTCTTAGGTACCAGTATGTGACTGTTGGCTTGGTTTTGTCTGATAGGTTGAAAGACATATAGAATACTCAAAGTTCTCAATAAATCAAATCTTTCATTTAGGGGATCAGATACCTAATATTTTCTTCCCTTAAAAAATGCTGTTAAATAATGTTGGTCTTCTATCCTGAAGTCAGCATTCCTCAAATAAAATTGAATGTATTTTTTGGGGGGGCAATTTCAAACAAATTTTACTTTTGAAACTGAGTTCTGACTCTTTTATAAAGTCAAAGACTTAGCCAGTTTTGCATGGCATGAAAAAAATAAAGAACAAGTAAATAGACACAAGTTTCTTGAGTGTAAAACAAGTGCCTCTTCCTTTAATGTAAATTATTTCCCTCTTTAGTAAGTACTTCATATGGCATTGTGCTGATCGTGACAGAAGCAATTCTGTTTTCCTGTCTCTGGTATGTGGTATGGTTTTAGAGGTTGATGTGATATACTTAAGGATGACATGAAAGTCATCATGAGATTTATGGAATTGACCAGAATTTATTACAGCCAGAATTTTTCCTAATATCCTAAGTCTGACATCAATTTGGATGATGAATGCACTCAATTTAAATTTCCTTT